TATTATAATAAAGTAATTAAAAATGAATTATCTTACAACAAACAAATTGGTGAACATTTAAAATATTTGTTATACACATATAGCTGCAATATCAACTTCCAACAACAGTTTTAGAAATTATAAAGTTTGAATTAATTAAATTATTTGTTAACAAAAACATGCTGTTATTATATTCGTGATTTTCATAATTATGTTTCCGGGAAACTCTACCTTTCCCGATTTAAATCTTCTTTGAAATTTATATTCCTTTTATAAAGTACCACATTTACATTTTAAATGAAACTTTAACCTTCCCAATTCTCAAATATGTGCAAGTATTATAGGTTGAACGACATCGATATGAAAATGATGTGCGGTTTTTATTACGAAATATATTTATTTTAAATTGTCATGAATATTCGTAGGAAGCCATTATATTACATATTATAACGTTTCAGTTGGGATGATAATTCTGACTTTAATTGCCTTAAATATATAAAAATGTATCATTTACCAAATCATTACAATAATAACAAAACACAACAATCAACCATATGAGAAGTTTTGTTTTTTTTTTTTAATGTCAGATATATTTTAGAAGTCAAATGAAAAGGAAACCAATTCCAGTCGTGATTATTTTATTGTTATGTTGAACCAAAATAATGTAACCTCCCAATTGTGTCCAGTTTTTTTGTTTTGTTCAAGCCAATCATAGACGACGTAGTTGGTTTATAACTAAATATAAAAAAGTGTACAACTATTGTGTTCCACTCTAAACAAAAAAAAATCATTATTATCTGAATATAATATGCAAATGCAAATAAAAAAGAAGCTTTTTCAGTCCAACACAATACCTTGTAGTAACATCGCAGTATAATTAAAATGACCACTTGATATATAGAAATATTGTCTTAAAATGAATGTAACAAAACATTGCAGCAATTCTATACGAGGACTCTTCACCAAATTTGTATGTAGGTCACAGTTCCCATTGTTTCTGCATCCATAATTGTCAAAATCTGGAAACAAAGTTTGTGTGTAAACTACAGATTCACTAACAAGCGAGTGCTATAGACCAACTCGTTTCGTATTTTATACGACTCTTTTTAATCATACATCATTGTTGTAACAAAAAATACAATGGCAACAATTATTCTGTTAATTTTATAAAATAATTTTAATTAAATTAATTAATGCAATAAATGTATACAAAAAACTAGCAAATAAAAATTCAACAGAGAACTGAGAAATAATATAAAACAGTATATCATGAAAATATGCTAATGCTGTTAATTAGTGCCTGGATCCTTGCTGCCAGCCTCGGGAAAAATACGTTAGCTAGCCGTGAGTTATGATCGACATTAATATCGTCCGCACTTCCTCCCACCAACCGCTTATTTACCAGCCTGAAGCCGCTCTGCGAACCGCTAAGTAGCAGACACATTAAAAACATCTGGATCAGAAGAATTCCTAATTATACAACCAAATTGGAAATGACTTTTTTGACTTCGCTAACTGTTATAAATTATATCTACTTAAGGTATATCTAGAGAATCCTTGGCTATCGTTCAAAATCAGATAATTTTTAAAAGTACATTTTCTTTTCAACTTTGAACCATAAGTTCCATTATTATAACGTCAAGTCAGTTAATAAGATTAAAATTATTTTAAATCAAAAAGTTATGTACGCTACATATTGCATGTTTACAAGAATAAATAAAAACCTCGCTCCAGTACGTACATACATCACCACTAACAAGGTTGTATTTTATTTAAGTAAACATACTCAAGTTATATAAAATACAATAAAAATATGTCAAAACATTCTATGAAACTTATCTGAAGCTGTAACATAAGTGTTTTGTAAGCTGATAAACTCCTAAGTCTAAAATGTTCGACATATAAAGATGACGGCCCAGTTTATTTTTATGTGTTACTTTGATGATATTTGAAATAAAATGTTTTATGAAAAGACTTTGTCTTTTTTACAACAGAGTGGCTATTGTAACTGAACATTTAGTGCTCGATCCGGAATCGCCTGTAAGAGTTGTTCATTTTTATTAGAATAATTAACTTTATATGTTTATGTCTGCTCCAAGGTTGGGTTGAACCATCGTATATTCATTTGTGGCATATGTAGCACACGTTAATTATATATCTTTATGATTCCCAAGTGCTTTGAGATGCCAGACTGTCTGTCGGTCTCGGTTAAGACATTCAGGGTAATCATGAGATGCATTCAATTATACTGACATATTAATTTTGTTCAATATTCACTTTAACTTTAACAAACTGTACTTCCACTCTAGACAATCTCTATAATAGTAATTAGAAACGAATATTTTAATTAAACGTCATAATCAAGAAAACATGACGATTTAATGTTCTCTTTAAATTTAACCTTCTTTAACATGAAGATTATTTCAGTAATCTTGATGTATACATATGAATTTGCTAATTGGCTATTAGATTGAAGACGTCAAATGAAAATACTTTCTTTTGATCAATGTTGGTATTAGATGCCAACATTTAGAAAGAGCACCATAATCAAAATTTTAATCACGTTTCAGCCCATGGCAATAATGTAATTAAACAACAAAAATTTATTTTTATATGAGTGTATATGTACATATCGTTTAATAACAACATTCATTTGCGATCTCTCAATTACTTGTAAAATTTAAAATTACGTACATGGAAATAAGAGCGAATAAAAAGGATACTTATTAAATTTACATAAGCATTGTATATAAAAATAATAAAAACACCATGACAAAAAGCAAATAGCAGAACTTGTAACACGACAGATTAATAATCAAAAACTGACCACAGCTGATCGTTCAGAATTTATTTCAATTTAACGCTACGTACGCATTTATTCGTTAAATGAGCTATTATATCGTTAGCGTCTGCTAATTAACTGCTCGTACAGATTCCAATTATCTCGACATCGCTTGTGAAAGCATTACTCAGTTATTTGATAACTTGAATATGTTTATTTATGAACGAAATTAGGAATATGTACATACACAAAACGCTTTAGGAAAGTTTACGAAAATGACGCTCATATTTAGAACATATAATAATAATTACATAATATCATAAAATAAAGCCTACAGACTGGTTCAGACAGTCTATGAGTAGACAATTTTATCCTAAAGATAAGATCGATTTGAATAAAAGCCGAGTACGTCACAGCTTTAATTCCCTCGGTGATAATGTTATACGAGGATTAAGTTGATTTTACATAGAAATTGGTTTAAACCTTCTGTGTGTGAATAACAAACTCAGTGACATCGGTATTTTTGTAATGGGCATAAAATTATCATTATATGGTTTGTCCCTTCCAAAGTCCGACCAATTATTTATAACCATACCATAATAATGTTTAGGATAAAGATATTTATATTATTTGACACATAAAACAACCGGTCATTAATAAAGTTTGTTCACCTTTAAAAATAATTAATATCAACATAATATATGTACAAAAGTAGTAGTCATTCTGCAGTAACACTATTTTTCATTTTCGACTCACATAAAGACATGTTGAATATTTGACGTCGATGTCTGTGTGTGTGGGTTTTTTCTTGTGGTGGTTCAAAACTATGGTTCTTTAATATCGGTCAAGCACTAAAAGAAAATCTGATTCGTACAAAAATAATGTAAGGCATTTTGGTGTTTGATTACACGATAAAACGCTTCACGAATCCCAGTATAATCGTTAAATAAATAAATGGAAATTCAAATTTCAGTTACGGGAATAATTTCAATATAATCCTGACATGGCATGACAACGTATTCGGTAAACATCATTTTATAAGTATGCCAAAATCATATAATATACTTATATAAATTTTAAGCATATTTAATGATTTCCGACATCGTTATGTTAAAAACATTTAAAAATTTACATTTAAAATAAAACTGACATAGTAAAAACGATAAACTTTATTATATTTACATAGACACCCATATTCATTACAATTGAATCAAATTATCATATTATCGTCGGTATAATCCTTTACGTACAAAAAATATCTCTGATTATGAATAATACAATAGAAAAAATATACAACAGGTGTTGATATTGTTATGATATGATAGCTATGAAATATATTTCTAGAATTTATTAGAGATAATATTGTCTGCTATAATTAGAACATAAAAATTCATTGTCATGATTTACAAAAGCTCTTAAAAATAATACCCACAAAGTCCTTTAATAACACTCTTAAATTACTATTAAATTAACTGTAGCATTTTCTGGTTGATTGGAAAATTGTGAGAGCAATTACTGATAAGATGAAAAATAGACATTCTGAATGCGAGCAGAGTATACTCGTAAATTGTCTGAGTTAATTAAAATATTTTTAAGATTCTTGAATAGCGAAGAACGTAGAACTAAACGGACCAATAAAACAGCGTAATTGACAGTAGCTATTAAGATAAGAAATTTCAATTAAATGTAATGAGAATAATTAATATGCTAAATGTAGTAGGTACAGTAAATAGTTTATAAATTAAAGAAACAATATTTACACTCCTTAACATTTTTTTAAGGTCCCCGTGCAATTTAACTGTAACAATGTACATAATTCAGATAAAAAACCTTATGGTTTCAGAGAAATAATACCACAGGATAATACAACAATTTTCCAAAACCGAATACCCAAAGTTACCAATTATATTTGTCTGTTTGTCTTGAAAACAACTGAAACGATTTTCGCAAAATTTTCTAAGACAAATAAAAACTGCTAGAAGCTAACGAAGCTCTTTATACCCAACGGTAACTTAAACTTTTAAAATTAATAACAACTTGATGAATTCATAATAAACTTAAAAGTTATGAGTTTACCCAAAATATAACAAAAAAGAGTTAAAATTGTAACTATATAATAATGTCTTTACGTCTGTGGTAGTCATAAAAACTCCTTGATTAATCAAGAAAGTTTTTGATACTTAATAACAATGATAATAAATAGCATAAGTAAGAACAAAATATATTTTGCTATGAAACACTATTTTACTAACTTTTCTGTTTCGATCCACAATTTCTTAGCGATTTCTTCATCCTGTGACAATTTAGAGGGTTTCTTCTCTTTACAATCTACGAAGTAGCGACCACTTACATCATTTACTTCCGGCGATACAGCCAGATATATGGAAGTTTGTGCGGCTTCCCAAACAGATTTAAATAGGATCTCTAAACCCATCATCACTATGTTACGAATAAACTTACTTTTAATGTTTCTAAATATATTGGTAGCCGCAGCGCCTGGATGTAAACAATTTACTGTAACACCAGTCCCTTCTAATCTTTTACTTAATTCCAGAGTCATTAAATTCAAAAATAATTTGCTGTTAGCATAAACTAGATAATCACTCCAATATTTTTCCATGTTTAAATTTTCGAAATCCATTTCAGCATATTTGTGAGCTATCGACGATACATTTATTATTCGACTCGGAGCCGATTTTTTTAATAACGGCAACATGAGATTCGTCAAAAGGAAAGGTCCGTAATAATTGACCTGCATTCCAACGTGATTCCCATCTTCAGTCTTCTTGTTACCAAGCCCTCCGGCCCCCGCGTTATTGATAAGAACATCAACACGCTCTTCTGTTTTATATATGTAATCACAAAATTCACGTATGGATCTAAATGATGAAAAATCAAGCTGTCTATGAAACACGTTTTTATTTCCAGTTGCTGCTATGATTTCATTCACTGCTTTTTCTCCTCGTGGAACGCTGCGACATGTGATAATCACTCGTGCTCCCCGCTCGGCTAAGTTCTTAGCTGTCTCGAAGCCAATACCGCAGTTTCCACCGGTTACAATAACAACTTTCCCCATCATATGAACACTCGATTTGCATACACCACATGTTATTTTCTGATATAATTTCAGAAGTAACAAAAATAAAAACACTATAAATAAAACTTGAAGAATCATTTTAAACACAATACAAGTGCTCTTACCGTTTTATTTATGAAATATATTATATAGTGTCTAAGATATATAATGATGTCGTAAGCTGAAGCGATTGTAGATAAGACATTTATCGCCTAGATAGAGCGCAATTATGTGCTCAGATTATAATATAAATAAACGAACGGTTCGTTTTCCCAACATTTGTGTTACTAAACGCCGGAGTGTGCGTACGCGTCGCGTTGTTAACTGTTACATAACGGTGAATGAATTTGTACCGTTCCGTATATATAAATCACCTTGAATATAAACGATGATATCCGAAGCTACGATCAGTAAACAAGATGTGATAAGACAATTACAAGCTATGAATTAATGAAGGTGCTTGAAAAAATATATATTGATATCCACTTAACATCGCTAGTATGAGAATATATAAGCAAAAAATTTATTTAAATTACATTTGTTATCTGATAGCAACTATGAGTCAATTGAATATAATTTCTATTTAAACATTTAAATATAAAAAAAACATGCTTACATTTCTAAATCTTAATATAAATACCCATTACCAATCAAAATTCCTAAAAGTAAATTGAGCTATTTTATTCACAATAAAGATAATTATACACAGTTAAAATAATGATTACTTTAAAGAGAACTTAAAGAGTAACCTACTAATGAAAGGACCCTGTTTTACGACCTTGTTAAGCCTTATAATTGTTGAACTTTGCGCCCGCGGCTTAACCAAGGAACAATTTACTAACTTTGAAAATCTTTTGCTGAGCTAAATATGGGGCAATTTTGCTTTAAAGATCAAAGAATTTGATAAACATTAACATTAAGCTATAGCCTACGGTTACATAACAAATTAAAGTGCCTGCAATTTTATAATAGCTATTACATAATTACACACTTTGCATTTAAATTTGTAACTTTATTTTTACTATTAAAATAATTTATATAATATATTAATATAATTAAAATTAAACGGACATACAATATCAATGCCAACATTATAAGTTTAACATTTAGACTTGAGGTGATAATTATTAATTAAAAAAATATAAAAATGAAAAAGTGATTCAGAGGTGTAAGTTATATTAAATAGGTATTTTTAGTGCTCTAACCAATCCTTCTACACCTTCGCCACATAGTACAATACTTTACATACATATATAAATGTGTGTAAGTTATACAATAATTTTTATACAAACGTATATGAATTTATTCACGTCTGCAATTCTGACACCTAAAGCCTTTTTATATTCTGTTGGTTTTCATTTTCATTATCTTTCTCTAACTCAATAACATATTTTCTTGTAAAATATAACAGTCGTAGCCATGCTACTAACACAACTGTTAAATAATTTATTAATAGTCTTAAGTGATGAAACTTTGGCAGCGTGTTATGACGCCCACGAGCGGTCCTGACCCAAAATATATATAAATAATATTCTATTGTCGTTTTAACTTGTATATAGAAGTTTTTATTTTAGTTGTTTTAGTTTTTTCTTTATTAGAAAAATATTTTTTTTCTTTGTTATTTTTTTGTGTCTCATTAAACGCATTTTATGCATTCACAGGAGTAGGCAAAAGCTTGTAGTTATATTTTAATTGCACCTATACAAACTACAAACATTTTATCTTCGTAATGCTGCAATTTTTTGAAGATAATCAACAATGTTTTGAAAATATGTCTCTATAAATCACTAGAACACTTAGTAACGTGCAGTGATGTGACATATGTATTTAACTTTTAATTTACATATCAATCAGAATAATTTCAAAATGTAAAGCTAAAATAAGGAACATAAAGGTATAACAAATAAAACAATACTTAATAAAGTCCGCAAAGGACTAAATTTTAATTACTTCCTCTTCTCATTTAATTTTTTGACAAACGAGGCAACTAAGAATGACTCGTTCAATTCATGGATATGTAAGTTAATCTTTAAATAGGGTTGTCGCCTCAGAGATCACTATCTATTAAGAGAGAAAGTGAAGTAAAGTTGGATTCGATCAAGGGCTTCCAACTAGATACATCTCAAAAGATACACATCGATAACACTTACTGATGTTGATCTTATAACTTCTGTTGTTCTAATGTTCTGTTGTTGATTTTCTTAGATAGAATGATACTAGAAAGAGAATTTTTCAAACCACCTAAAAACATTTTTACAACCATGTAACCCAATAAACATTTTCTCTTTAATTGATATCAAAATGTCTTCAGTCCGCGGCTGGATATAAGATGTATTAAAAAATAACTTATTTTATTTATCGATAAATTGTATCGATATCATTTTAATATATTACATCCCTATTATAAATATATATGTATATGTAGTATACAGTCTGGCAACAGTTTATTTTTCTTATTTATCCAAGCAACAGCGAAATTGCAATTTGCGTATTCTAGGAAAAATTTCAATCGGATTTTAATGTCAATTTATTTAAGTGTATCAGTTCTAGTTTTATCTATAAGAAGTTTATGATTTCAATCAGCAACTAAAGACAATTCTCCTTAATATGACAATAAAATGGTAAGTAACTATGTAGAATCTTCAAATGTTGCTATGTTTATTAAAAATGGATGTTATTGAATTACCCCAAATAGTTTGAAAATTAATATTGATGCTCTACTTTATTTAGCCAGATCTTTTTTACACTGCTTAAATGCCACAAAAACCTTTGATTAATTTTCCCGTGAAAATACTAGAGTGGCGATAAGATTTTCAATCTAAAATCATCCGCTAAGATGTTATAGCCTTATCGTACTTTTATTTCTCATAAATTTTTCCTGTTTTGAACGATTTACCTGAAGATTTCAAATATGACAAATTTTTGTCATGATTATATTTTAATAAATATTGGTCAGGCTATAAAAACATATTGAAGTCTATGATATATATTTACACATATATATATCTATATTTACTGGTTATGCTATAAAGTTCTGCATATTTTTTTACTACCATGTTTAAATAATATTTTTTTGTTGAAATAAGCTATGATTTAATTTAAATCATTATTGCCATACATATTTTATGTACATAGGTACATAGCTAAAAAAGTGTTTTGTTACAGAATTGTGTTTAATAAATCTCCAGTAGAAAGAGTGAAAAAAAAAATGTAATATTCAATACAAAATAGTGTATCTCGTTTTCCGTCAATAAAAAGTATTGAAAGTTAATTTTTGTACTTGAACTATGTATCTGTGATCGTAATATAAATAATAATATTAACCGTAAACACAACTATCATCAGTGAATTCGTCGATTTAAAACGAATTTTGCTATTTATCTATGAGCATTAATCTGCGGTGCAGGATGGATTTAACGATTGTAATATTAATTTATACGATCATTTTAATATTATTATCATTGTGGATATATTGTAAAATATCCTGCGGTATTTGTAAATATAGTGGACATTTAATCGGAAAGGTTGTTATCGTGACCGGTGCAAACTCAGGTATAGGTTACGAAACCGCGAAAGATCTTGCACAGAGGGGTGCTAAAGTTATATTAGCCTGCAGGAATCTAGAGCGAGGAGCAAGTGCTAGAGACAAAATTATTGCCTCTTCAAACAACAACAATGTACACTTACTACATTTAGATTTAGCTTCCCTCGCATCTGTAAGAAGATTTGTTGATAGCATTCTGCAAAACGAAGAGCGTTTAGATATTCTTATAAATAATGCTGGACAATACTACACGGAAAATAAGAAAACGGAAGACGGATTGCTACTTGGGATGCAAGTTAATTACTTCAGTTCATTTCTTTTAACATCGCTCTTACTCCCTTTATTAAAAGCATCAGCACCGAGTCGAATAATTAACATTTCTTCAATTGCACACTTTTTTGGGAGAATAGACTTAAATGATTTAAACATGGAATACAGTGCTATTTTTAATTCACACTTAGTTTACGCTAACGCAAAGCTCTGTTTGCTACTAATGACTATGGAGTTAAATCGCAGATACAAGTTAAAGGGCTTAACAGCATACGCTCTTCACCCTGGAGTCGTGAACACTGAAATGGTTCAACACTTAAATTCGTGGTTCGTTAGAAATATATTAAAGATTTCTAAAACATTCCATAAAACGCCGTGGGAAGGAGCACAAACTACAATTTATTTAGCTGTAACACCTGAAATCAATGAAATTGGATGTTTTTTTAAAGATTGCAATGAAGCGAGATGTAGTAGAGCAGTACAAGATTTGGAAAGTGCATCTAAACTATGGGAGCTGTCAGAAAAATATGTAAATTTGAAATGAAGCCAGATATTGGAAAAGAAAGAACTAGAAAATATTAATTTTAACCGGTACAAATAAAACAAACAACAGGGCTTAAATAAAAATAAATCGCAGCAGAACGGTGCGAGAAAAGTGTCAACTTGTCACTTGAATATCAAAGCTCAGAGGAATAACTATAAATAAAAGATATTGCTTTAAATATCAAGGCATTTTTATTCACCCTTCCATGGAAAATAATATTTTTGCGTATATTTTCTTTCAGGAAGTTAACTTAAAAACATTTTGAAATATAATGACAAAAAATATCTAAAATGTGTCATTGTATGTATCTATTGTACAAGCATAATAAAACATACTAAGAAATAAAATGAACATCTAATAGAGATTAAAGCATTAAATACTGCATTGCTTAAAAATACAATAACTTATACCAAATAACCCAATATTCCGATGTTAAATCGATTTGAATTCGTTTACATTAAAGTTTAGTAGTTCAAGATTTGACTTTCAGAAACATCATAAATGTAAAATACTTATAAATATTTAACAGTATATGTTGTGAACTGATAGATGTGTCGTTGAAAATAAACATGTTGATTTTATATATTTTTAGAATTTGAGAAAGAAATAAGACTATCAGATCAAAAGGTTTAAAGTATTTCAAACCTATGGCACGAAACAAACCATATGTATATCTTGAAGATTCTAACACAGGGGAACTTGATATTACCTCAAGTGGAGCGATGCAGCATTGTGCACTTTTATACGGAGCAGCGAAAATTATTTCACACAAATTTAGCTCTTGCGAGAAAATTTTCAAGAACTATAATGGCATACTATACCCGTTTGTCCTATTTTCGCTATTGTCGGCTGAGACACCACTTCGTTGCGCAGAGATAATTGCGGTGTCGTATTCTTCAGAAATCACTTAGCGAAAGCTGTTTTATTTTCCCCTAGCCAAAACTTTGTTTATGATACTATTTATGAAACTATAAGTAAATTGAAAAACTTATACAATGTTATTGTTACGGGAACTGAGGCACTTACATAATTCCTAATTACAACAATTAATAAGCAGAAGAGAAGAACAAAAAATCTTAGAAATTGTATTAGACTTCATAATTATATCTAAATCATATATATAAGGTAATGGTTGTTAAATATTTGTATTAATTATAAGAAGTTTTTTTTTTGGAAAACAAACATTCACATAGACTTACTTATACAAGCCATTTGCAGATGTTGAAATAGTGGACCTTGACCGTCTCTAGCATCAAATAAAAAAGACATTTGCATACGCTGAATAATGCAGAGAATAGGTAAGTTGTCTGACATGAAAGATGGAAAAACATGGCTATTTGTATAATGAAAAGAAAATTGAATTTTTAGAAAAGTATTTTTAGTTTTCAGTGTACGTATGTTACTGAAAAATAATTAAATATTTCTCTTGTATTTTTTTATATATTATCAATATAAAACAATATATATACTTTCGATAAATTTGCTGTATTTTGTAATATTATGCCACTATAACAATCAAACCTATTTGACGTTTCGACATTTTAATGGTTACCATTGAAAAAATATATTCATGATTAATGTTATAGTCAACATAAATATATCTACCAAGTATGTTAACCGTTCCACAATACATTAATATATCATCAGGTACTATCGAATAGTTTACCAGCTAGTTGGCTAGTCAAGGGCAGTGGCTCAAGGTGAACAACCGTTTCTCGTCTCTACGGACTGCTGGCGTTCCACAAAGCGGTGTCCTCTTTCTCTTCTCTTCCCTATTTTTATTAGCACTCTTTTAAAATATCTGACCTCATCGTATCATCTCTATGCTGATGATTTTTAAGTGTAAATTGGTGTTCAAAAGAGACAGCATCACAGACATTGAACTATTGATCTATGATGTGCCGAACATAAAATCAGCTGCTGGACCACAAGATATGTAACTCTATCAAGTCCCAGTGATTGGCTTCTATTTAAGTGGACAACGAACGTGATTTTGGAGTTGATTCCATCTAAATAAAAAACTACCAGCTTCTATTCTTTAGCTCTTTACGGGGCTACAAGAATGTTAGATAAACTTTTGCTACCATTTTTTATGTTAGTTAAACATTTTATAACCCTTAGAACTAAGATTTCTTCTGTTCTCCCTCCTTTTGCTACTACCAGACTATACTGAAATTGCCAAAGAATTCATATGAATGTTTTGAACTTACGTAAACAGTAAAGATATAATATGCTAGATTTTTTAAGTAAGATATAAATATTTACGTACATCTGTTTTTAAATTAATTTTATTTTGAAAATATTCTTATAGATCTTTTATAAACTACTTTTAGATTCTGATAATTTGGTGAGTATTTTAACTGTATGTTCACTAAAATTTATTCTAATAGGTATTCAATATAAGTAACGATTTGTGAAATGTGTTATAAGTACGGAAAATTTGAATCAAATAAACAAAAATGACCCAGTTTTGCAAGGGGCTTTATTTATTTGCTAAAACTCATTTCTTGGTTCTTCACAGTAATCCAAGGTTTTGAATAAATCATGACAAAATATCTTATATTTTAGATGAACGAAAAGTTTCGGTGAAATATTGCGATAATCACTACGGGACGTTGATGTTTTTAAAATAAATTTTATTTTATTTTGTGAAACATTATTAATGTTTACAAGAAATTCCCTAATATACACTATTTAAGACATAATTAGTATAAACTGTTTAATTTCACAACCATCCACGATGAAAATGATAGTCTAAATAAAAGGTTAAAAAATGTTAATACTAAGAAAAAGTACATGACATATTAATATAGCTTAAAACATATTATTTTTTTTTTGTCTTTTATATATTTTTATATTAATATAGCACATTGCAGAACTCAACAATGTTACAAAAAGGAAAAATAAATAGTGAACGGTGGTTTATTGACATGAGGCTAATTCCATTTCCAGCTCTTTAGTTCAGTTAAAAGAGCACTTGGTTGGCCGTCCCATTAGATGAAAAAAAAATAAAGAATTTAGATCAATAACTTCCACCATGTTGTTAAACTTCCTAGTGTATATAATTTGAGTCCATTGGATATAAAAGGTTTATTTATAAAATGAAATTCCGTCTAATAATTTTTATTTCAAATCTATTATTTAAACAAATTCTTGTATAGTAAAACTTGTGATGAAGATAAAGAACTCCATGCTTATATAAATAATTTTCAATGAGCGAAGTTATGACCTTAGCAATGTCAACTGTCAAAATCTAGAAAATTTTTGGTGACTGGTAGAAATTATAAATTAGTCATGAAAACAACAAAGCAATATACATTATCTCCATCATATTTTTGGAGTTGTCTAAATTTAAGTGAGGATTGTCCTTATATGTCGTCATCAGATCCAAAACTAATATATTTCTTGGCAATTTTAGTATCGATATATGTCGCGTTTCTTGTAATTGTCTTCGCTGATCTAAAGTTTTATTCTTCAATAAACCAATTACAGCAACAAATCCAGTACTATATAAAATTTGTGAAGGAGAAAGTAAGGCATGTGCAAATGAATCAACGGCGGCTGGTGAGCACAAAAGAAAGAACGGAAAAACAATTGAAACGAAGCGAAGAGTGTAAACGCATTGTGACGGTTCTGCGCCAAACCCTAGCCGATAATCCCGATAAAGTGAAAATTCTCACAAACAACATCGAAGACAAAGGCAAGGAGTTACCGCAACCAGGAAATTGGCTTGAAAGTCATGGCATTATTGACTTTATTGAGTAGATCTTATTTTTTTATAAAATAATAAATAAACGATTCCGAATATGAATATTTTTCAATAGTTGACTCGCTGAAGAGCCGTCGCTTTATTCAATCGTTCGGATTTATTAAGGTACTGAATAAAAATATATGAAAGAACATTATTTACGGGTATTTCACTATTTCCTTTCAATTTTTTTTCAACATCGAGTGAACAGTTTTAAATTTGTCGTTAAATATAAAAAATTCATATTCATTCGAAGTTGCTGGATTTTTTATAAAGGAAGTTGAAAAATTGGTAAAATACAATAAGTCGAGGAGCGCCTCCATCCCAACTTTATTAAAACTGCATTAAAAACTAGCAAGCGGCGTCTCGTAATTCTGTTGTTGACTAAAGTATGCGTGAAGTTTAACGAATCCCGGGACAGCAGGAAGAGGCACTGGTTAAAGTTAAGCAATTAAGAAGAGTGTAAGCGGCGAGATTGCACGAAACTAAAACTATCTTCATTAGAACTACTATGTATACAGAGTTTGACGTAAGTAACGTTCTGAAACCGCATGCATAAGGATTACACCTATAGGAACCTTTTTTATACTGCTATTAAAATATTCCATCATTCATTGTGCTTTAAATTAAATTTTGTTATTTAATGTACATGGAAACTGTTGTTTTATTTTGTTTATAATGATACTGTAACGAAACTACATTGGCTATGTCCATCATTTTACATAAAATATAATTATATTCTCTATAGAAAACCGAAAAGGTATCTTATTTTAAAGGCTTCATTATTTTATGTGGTGATTAAACAACATTGTAAAAAAATATCTATAAATTATTTCATTACCGTCATTTATGAACCAATGAAAATATTTTAATATAATAATGTCTGTAATAAATAAATTTTATTTTAACATTGTGAGATAAATTTCTCTACGGGTTAAAATGATTACACAAAGATTAGGCCACTTTGTAAAGACGTGCTCATTTTGTTACAAAGATACCTCGTCCGAAACTATGCATTTGGACGTTATCCAACCTTGCAGTTCAGATTAAGTTTTTATTCAATTCAACTACATTAAATTTATATTAAGCAAAGTGAAGGCGAAATGAAATGGTACCATGTTACTTTATATATTTATTTCACACAGACACACATACACACTTTTTCTTTCTTACATCTCTAATAAATTAATTAACCTATTTGTTAATTTTACACAAGCTTCAGTTTTAACATTAACTTAGGATACTTAACTAAAATTTATATGTAAAAAACACACAAGTTATCGAGCAAGCGAACATCAGTGCTATAATTTTGCGGCCTTAATGACGGTTGAAAAAAACCTAACAAATGAACAGTTAAAACGAAAACTTAACATAAAACTAACAAACACAGCCATATCATATAAAACAAAAAAACAATGAAATAAAACTTAACAATAAATTAACACTTAAAATTATTCAACATCAACGTAACAGCAATAACAAATACATATAACGCAACAATAACAAGGGATGTGTAATGAATATTTTATCCTCTCGGCTTGCGTATTAATATACTCTATTTGATTTACACAAAAAGCCTATATATTAAATCAGTTACTGTTTTCCGATGTGATGATTTTGGTGCAACATTAATTAGTAACAATTTTACTTTGAAAGTTTGAAAGTTTTAAATAACTGGGATAAAATAATCACCAGACAAAGTTCTGATTACTCTGTCAGAGTACGTTTAATTATTTACATATAAAACATCTATGACAGAGTAATCCTTGCTCGCTAAGCGTCCTGTTACAGTTCAACATCAAAACTCCAACAGAAGGCGTCGCTGTATTTAACATAACAATACCCAGGCACTTTTGAATATTAAGGCACTTAACGTAATAGTAAAATGAATAAACTTAACGATTTAACTTTGAGAGTCATTTGATTCTGTTTTAAAACAAATCTCTATTGTTTTTTTGTTAACATTTTGCTCAACATATTATGATAACTGATGAAAAACTACATGATCAACATATAACATTTTTAAACGTCTACAATTTACAACTCACAACACAACTGATTTTTAAACGGGTAAACAAAAACTCAACTGATCATTAATTAATAACGACAATCTCCAATTACTGATACAGTGTCAAAATGGGAGTACAATGAAGAAAAATTAATTGTATTACGTTTTAAAGACGAGTGGGTTACAATGTACTATTTTTATGCTACATATTTTCAAATTATGATAATGATTATTAATTGGCGGATAATCAAAACTTAACTGTCCAATAACAAGCAACAAAAACTTAACAAAGAAAAGAAAAAACGTTAACGATAGTAACTGAACGGTAACATAAAATTCAATGTTTTAAAAAATAATAGACGTTCCTAACTCAAATAACAAAATTTTAACCAGAACTTAACTGTTTTATAACAAAGTGAACCAAATTAACGTTTGTTTTAACAGCAAATTAAAAAATAACTGTGTAACAATTTAACAGTAGCATGAATTTTGTAACAGGTACTTTTGAAGTTCAAAAATGAGATAGAAGCTTCAAATGAATTTTGTGCGAAACAAAAACTCAACGATAAACAATAACTGACACATTGAAGCACTCTGATAACAAAACAAGTAAAAACTTAACGTTAACAATATTATGAAACAAGAAAGTTACAACACGTTTCCGAAACAAAAAGTTAACAACATTAACAGTTCAATGAACAATCCAAAATTAAAAACAAAACATAAAATCAACGAAATTATCATTCAGCCACTAGCCAGACCAGCTGGTTTTGGATTTGAATTAAAAACTTAACTCTCTTCATTGTAACAATAACAACGTTGTATCAAACTTAATGTGAATTAGTATTACAAAAACAAACATATTTGAGCAAAAAGTTTCATGAGGACACCGCTAATTGAGTGTTTACTCTTAATAAGTTTTGTTAACGGGAACTGTAGAATTTAGAGTTAAACAGCCGTAAGATTTAATAACATGAAAAAACTTTAACAACTTGAATGAAAACAAAAGACCGTACATTAAGGCACTCGGTAAGAAATCGGAAATTATGTATTAAGACCACTTAAATATCATTGTTGTTTTTAGTCACGATATTTATTTTTTGTAGTTAAATCCTATCATTATGTAGTATCAACTGTACATTACTATATTACACAATTTTACGCTAAAACTAACCTATCTTTGGACATTTTGAAATAAGTTTTCTGTACCTGAGTGAACTGCATTCATTTTCGGGAAGTAGTTTCAAATTGTGAAGTAGAAAATATACAGTCTTTAGATTGTATTTTGTTTCAGAATCTTCACAATACAAACTGCAGATACAATCTGTAACAATAGAAAAGTTTCTAAATAACATGCTCCTGAATTAAACCTATAGTACAAGCTTATAGGACTAGAAAAGAAAAAGTAATAAAAGTTAACTTACCAATAAATATTCGACAACGATCCTCGGCAAAAATAAAGTTTTTCCAGAGACAAAATTGCTTTTTAGTTACTTAAACATTAATTAACTTCACTTCAACTCCAGAGTTTTAATTGACAAACTAGTGATACTAACTTTGAAAGAGGTGTTCTTGTCTAATTTGCAAGAAGTTTTTCTGGGGACCCGGACACTGCGGGTCCCCGATGAACTTTCCAGTTGCCGTCAAAATTTGTTTGTGATGTTCAAACGAAGTTCGGAGCCCTTATATATGTGAATCCCGAAAATCCCTCCCCTTCCCACCGTGGGAGCGTTTGCGCACGTGTTCTTGCGCAAACGCACACAAAAGCGCCCTTTTTCTTTGTCCCATTGATTTCGATCCCTCGAGCGTCTTACCTATCCTTGTATACCTGTGATTGTACAAGGGGAGAAATCTCACCCGGTGGGAAAAATCGTAATCGTAACTTAAATTTAAATTATTATACACAATAATCATATACACTTCCAGAAGGGTCCGAAAACTTACAACTTTCTCACGCTAGAATTAATAATAATAATATTATTCTTCGGAAGAGGAAATTTAGAAATATAAATAACAGAAACAATTGATAATTTATCTGAGCTGTTATCAATATATGTATATATTATATTGTATATTTACTTATATTTATATGCTAAAGGCAAATGAAGTAAGTATATATAAAATCACATACATGCAGTAGAAAGTCCTTAAAAAACAAACTTACAAAGCAAGTTGAAACATAACACTACTTTTACTCACTCATTAATTTGCGAGCGCTCTAAGCTTAACGGAACTCGATTGACTTGCCCCAAGTATTTTGCAGCAACAAAAGATCCTTTCATCGATACGAGAAAACGTGCTCTGCTTAAAATAATGAGGCCCTTAACTTACTAAGTCAAAAAGCCAGAACATTATTGTATTGACCGTTCAATATCACTACTTCATTAGATAATACGTTATGTATTCCTAATATAATACTATCATTGCAAATGAATATAATCTGGAAAAACACAATTTTTATTTTCTGTAACATCGTAGTAAAGAACTGTTATATAAAAAAATTGGGATGTATATACAACAGTGCTGCACAATTTTAAACGAAAAGTGGAACGTCTTCTAGTGAGATTTCAATATAAATTGAGATATTAGCAAAGGATGTATTAGATATTTGAATATCTTAAACGCAAAGGCAGCAGATGTATCTCAGATTGTATTCTGGGTGAAGACTACAGAGTACCTGTAGGATAAATTCAATTACGGAAGGATTTACATTCGTTCTTTTTAAAATATTGCCAAAAAGTGAATAAATGAAAAGAAATTCCATTCAGTGCACGTTAGAAAGATGGTTATTTATTTTATTTATTTTGCTTTAATTTCCGCTAACATTATTTTATATGCAATCAAATTCATGTAACCTAATAATAATATAACCTTTAAGGAAATATAAACTGTAAAATTACCATTTTACAATCTATATTTCTCTTCAAAAATTTGAAAATAACCATGTATTATAATAAGCGAATCCTTTAATACATACCCATAACCATTAAAATATGTTGAAATATAGCA